TTTAGTTATCAACCTCGTGCATTAAAATTGTTTTTTTTCTATTTTATACAGTGGCTGAGAGAGCTTAACACATGCAAGTAGAAAAAAACATTTCCGTTTTTGCAATGTGCAGCACATTTCCATAATTGCATGTGTTGTGACGTTTTGCAGCACGCGTTGTCTGATTAAGTTGGTTTTGCACGTGTTTTTTCTATTTGCATGTGTTCCCCTAATTTGCAGTGCATTGAGCTCTATGCCACAGTAATTTCATCATTTTTTGTACCTCAATGCTATCACGGGTAATAGAAGTTTTTTATGTAGGCACACAACTGGACTTGCTTGTACGTGAATTTCTTAAATATTTACACACAAGAGAAACCTACTCAATAACAGTATGTGACCATGGATAAAATGTATGATGTGGAAAAACATACTTCATATATATAATTGGAGGGAGCTTCATATACTTATACCTAGTTTGTTTGTTTAGGGATTCTTGTAAAGCATGACATGTATCAGAACACAAAAATGTCCCTAATTGAGTTGATCATTTTAAAGTGCATGGAGTTTCTATGAAGAATGTTGTTAAGAAGCAAAAACAGGCCTAATAATATAGAACTGTCAGGATGAATAGTGAACCTGTGTTGAACAAAAACACTCAGAAACAGCAGATGTCGTGATTAGTAAGTACATGTTTATTTACAGGCTGTTTTAGTGGTCATTTCCAAGGCAGTAAGAAGACAAGGACTTAATTATTTTAAAGAAACAAAATAAAATTCACAGTTCAAAAGATAATGCAAGGCAGGGAGTGACAGACTGAGTTCAACTAAAAAAAACAGAAATGACACATGGTTATTTAGTTTGATGCTGTAGTGCAGATCTGATCCTCTGCTGCTGAAACTGTGAGAAGCACAAAGGATCAGATTAGGCCTGTGTTGGAGGCTTTTATACTCATTATGCTAAAAGTCCAATTAAAACAACAAATGCCAAAAGGTATGAGTGTCCACTTTCCAGATAGTTTTGGACCCACTATGCTAAGAGTGTATCATTTCATAAGGCCATGTATGCAGTGAGTTAATTTATTCAAAAATGATCAGAGTCCATCTTTAGTATGATGGACAATTGATTAATTCCATGTAGATGTAAGACTGTTCATATAAAATGTGGAAATGTATCTTGTCACATTCGCACGGTCATGTGATTCAAACACACTCGAACATCCACTCTGAAAACAACAATATTAACATGACATAAAAACAGTGATGTCGTCATTGCGTGTCCTCATAAAAACTTTCTGCTGGTTCATGCTCGCCTGACAGTCCACCTCTGGACCTCTGACGTATGCCCATTCAATCCAATGTTCCATACGTACTGGTCACAGTTACATGCTTCCATGCACTCACATTCAACACCATGACCATTTCTTTACTTTTTAGGGCTTTCAATAAAAAATATGGATAAATAAAAGCCAATATTTTCAAAATGGGTAAAACTGATTTAATAGAATTTCGATAACTTATTGCCGCAAACTGTATTAATTCAGCTTATTATAGCAGGCACCACAAAGTGATTAGAGGCAATAACCCACAGTATACAAATGAAATACTTACAGTATCACACAATATTAAGAATCACAATATTGTGACTTAAGTGCTGAGACCAACTAGAGGAAATAACTTTTTCCCCCAGTGTCTGTGGCCTGTGAGAGATGACAGCTGTACTTAAATTACAGTGAGCAGCATAAGGCAGGGTGGAATAAATTAAATGGTTGATTTTGCCATCACAGTCTAATGTTACTTCTTGTTTGGGATTTTTGTTAATGCAAAGAATTGACAATGAAATGTATAACCACACATTTCACCTAATGGGTTTTCATGGATTTTGGATTACTTTGCACTTTGTGGTAGATTTTAAGGGTCAATCATATGTGTAAAACCATGTTACACTCCCATATGTTGAAAACTATCAGTGTCCATGTCAATGTACGTCCCGAAGCAGCAAAACCCACAGAGAACCAGGTGCAGTCCCTTCTCAGCAGGACCCTGTGGTGAGAACAGGAACAAGTCCAGCATCCATGATTCATCCCCAGTTCATCGCTGGGCAGCTTTGATGACCCACTCTGCTGCAGGGTTCAGCTGGAAGAGGTCTTTCATGTATGTTTCCCCATCTAGACATCTCTCCTCTGTGCAGAGATAGACAGAATTTTTTAGAAGATGAACGTGATGTACTGTTGTTATTGCAAGAATGGATTATTATAATAACGTCCACCAAGTAGTGTTTATGTTATGTTTTCATCAAGAACTACTTATTGGATTTCTATGACATTTTGAGGGGGTGGGGCACGACCTAGGGCAGAACCCATTCCATTTTGGAGTAAATTAAAATAAATAGGCAGATTCACTTTCACTAAAATGGGGAGATAGGCCGTTAGCCTCCTACGTGTCTGTGGCTTTTACAGCAAAACATTTTTTTTTCATCATTTGGCCTGTTGGCTCCATAGCTGGTTATCAGCAGAGAAAATCTTAACATTGCAATGAATTCATTTTAGCAGGAGCAGGACTTACTGATGTTCCCACCGATCTCATAGAGACACAGCTCTTCTCGTTTCACTGCCACTGAACTGGAGGACAAAGAGAGAGGGAGTGAAAGAAGAGAGAAAGTAAGAGAAAGAGATCAGGAGACATGAGGAGGGGACCCACACTCTGTAGGCAACACTGCTGTATGCACTGTACATACTACATTACCTGTCTTGGCTGAGGAAGCGTGAGAGAACATCAGCAGCCAGCAGCTCTTCAGTCAGCTGAACAGCCATAGAGGTCTTACTGAACTGGGGGGCTTGGACTCGAATAAATCCCTGTGAACTCTCCTGGTTGGAAACATACAGTGAGTGACACTTCATCAACTGTCAAGGAAACAGATACAAAATGATAATGATCATACAATTCAAATCACTGCACATGTATGAATGTGTTAATTATAAAATGATCCACTGTTCTGTACTGCACTATAAAAAATATATATATCATAGGAGCAACACTCTTAAACAACACCACTAGGTGTCACTTTTATTTAACCTTCAATAAACGCAACCTGTTAAAGAGCAGCATGTATGTTTATCCATTCATCCATCCATTCACCCATCCATCTATCCATCCCACTCATCCTTTAAGGGTCAAGAGGCAGGGTACATTATATTTAGATATAGTTAAATATATTAGCATTAATTTATCATCTGCATAGAAGGTTATGTTTGTTTGTTTGTTAGCAAGATTACACTACTGGACGAACTTCCTTGAAGCCTAAGGGAAAGGATGAAGTATGGATCACGAGTGATCCTGTTAAATTTGAGTGTGGATCTGGATCAGGGGGTGGATGCAAGAATTTATTTGACTACTTTCTGATATCTATGAGTGTGTGAAATGTTGTGCATCTTTACAAGCTTTAACAATGCCAGGCTTACTGCATTGTACATGGTTTACACAAATATGTATAGTAAGTAAAATGTGTGGTAGATTTTGGGTTGTTTAATCATGGATTCAGAATCATACTCCCTCATTCGCACATCTATATGTGGGATTATCAACAGTGATTTCTAAGTAAATGATAACTGAAAACTACACAAGCGGGAAATTAAAACCTCCTACCTCAGGGGCAGCTTTGTCAGGCAGTTTCTCAATGGTGATCTTCTTCAGTAGCTTTCTTACAGCTCTCTCTTTATTCTGTTTCCGCTGACTTTCCATATTCTGTTGTCTGACCTGGGTCATGATGAACTTGGGGATCTGAAGACACATTCCACACATGAAAGTGAGACTTGATACAACACGTGCCATCATTCATAATCCATAAAAAAATGAATCTCCATTGATTTTAATGGAAACACAAATGTTGAGAATGACACAGATGTACACTTTGTCTGTGGGGGTGTTTTAAATGGTAGATCAACGAAGTCAGAGGGATCTTTCTGATTCTTACTGTCCAAAGAAGATTCTGGTATCTTATCAGCAGGCGGACAATGTTGGCTGTGCTGGTTGCCATGGAGAACTCCTGTTGTTCTGTAACCTTGGAGCGGAAGCCTTTGAACATGAAGATGTTGGGTGCCATGACAACTGAGACGTTGTTGAGCGTCATTTTATTCTTGACCTGGTGGTCAATAACACGCTGGAAGAACTCCACCAACGCCTGGGGAAAGACAGAAAAAAGAGAATATATTTACAAAGGAAACAGTGAGGAGTTTCTTATAAAAGAAATGTGATACATTTTTGCATGAGGTTTCTTTGAAACTGAGCGTGCACGCACCTTCAGAGTGTCCCGATTGGGCTCTGGTAACAAAAGGACCAGCAGGTTCAAAGCCTGCAGCTGCTGCTTCTTTGTGGGGAACTCTGTATAACACACACACACACACACACACACACACACACACACAGTAAAATGCTTGATTGGCACTTTTTTCGGTCCATTGTCTCATAAAGTGGCTGTAAACTTCTCATGATCAAGCAGAATACTTCATGAACAGATGGGGTACATACTGTTGACGGCAATAAAAGTGCTGAGGTACTCCACAGTCAGTAATGGATGGGGTAACTCCCTGATGAACAGCTTCAGAAGGCTCGCAGCATCGTGCTGCTTCAACTGTTGCCATGGAAACATCCCATCATAGCAGGAGGACTCGAGCTCCTGGCACAGTGACTGCAAGAACAAGTAAGGGTCAAACAGACTGGCAGTATAAACCTTACAATCTTTAGCATTTCATATGTCAGCTGTGGTGAAATTTCAATTCAGATACTTGGACCAACCTTGACTCTCGTGGCCACTCCAGGGATCCGTAGAAGCCCCTCTGTGTCTAATCCTTCCTCCTCGATATGAGTGATTAACTAGAGATAAGAGTGACATTGTGTTTACAGAAGACAACGCAAGAAGAAAAAGAGTAATGACTATGACAACTGAAGTCGGGCATAGTGATGACTATATGTCAGTCTAAATAAACTTTATATTCCAGTTGTACAGTGTGTAATATGAATGTAATATGGAAAAAACAGCACGATGCAGGAATATATTACGTCTGTTTGATCAGTTACTAGCATCATTGCTGTTTATTGTCTATGTCTCAGACTGTTTGTGGAGACTGGCAGGTGCTCACCCTCTGCAGTATGAATGGCACTTTGGTCCCAGGAACCCGCCTCTGGTCCTGATCCAATAAAGTGGTGAGTGGCACACCGAACAGACCACTTTCTACACACACACACACACACACACACACACACACAGTAAAACATTTATTATTTAAATTTTTGGCGCAGATCCAGAAAAACAGGCGGCTCCAGAGATATCTTTTCCCACTTTGGTGAGATAGGGTGCTAAACTGGTGAAGGTATACAGCGTAGATCCTGCCATTACAAATGCTCAACCAATTGCGGGTCAGTCTCAGCTGTCAATCATGATGTTTCACCCCTTTTTATAGCATTAAAATAACACATTAAAACCAAACTTAGAAAAATTTAAACTTAGACAAACATCACTGTGAATATGGACCTCCAAGATAGAAACTATCCTTAAGAAAACTGTATTTGATGTGTACTTTGAAGTTTAATTTAGTCCATGTCCCATCTTTTAACATGTAGGAGGCAGGATAAATGAAATGTACTGCAGTCAGCCACCAGGTGGCAACAGAGTCCCTTTTGCTAGTCTTTGGTTTGCACATGTAGCTGGTTGTGTGTGTGTGTGTGTGTGTGTNTGTGTGTGTGTGTGTGTGTGTGTGTGTGTGTGTGTGTGTGTGGCCAATTGTTATGTTTTGTTGTTTTCATCACTGTTCATGTCTGAGTGCCTTTTTTGTGTGTGTAATGAAAAAGCATATTTACCCTGTCGGCTTTGAGGACATACTGTATCTGCATCAATACCGTATGTGTCTCAATTTACCTTTAGTCTTGACTTTGACAGCTTTGTGCGCCTTCAGGTCTATCCCAGCAGTGTCGAAGAGAGCCGTCATCTCCACAAGCACCACTCTACGCACCTAGAGATGGATTTGGAAACAGTGATATTTTCAACTTGAGGACGGACATGCACACACATGCATCCACAGATTATAAAATATTATGTCCTAACACCATATGCCCACTTACCTTTTTCATATCCAGAGGAGACAGATCTCCTACTCTGGTTTGACCTGTTTTATCTCGGAGCAGCTTAAAGTTCTAAAGAAGTAATACAAACGGAGTAAAAGACAAAGGGGCATCAGTGACTGTGGAGGAAAGAGTTAGAAAGCTACCACTGTGCCAAAGTCATATTTGACTGTTTTGATTGAATAGTCAACCACCAGATGTCACTATTGACCAGTTCTTAATCTGCTTTCAGATAAATGCTGCTGACTGCAGATATGCAACACAAGCTGAACTCTAGCTATACTCTGCCCACTTAAGTCTAAAAGTTCTGTATAATGTTCTTTCATGTCATTCTTCTGTTTACATTCTGTTTGTATTACATTTACAAGGCTAAACCAACAACCACACAATAGAAGATTATTGAACAAGACAAACATTTTTTCAAACTTTTAATGAAAATCCTTCCTGTGCAGCGAGGTCCTTACATTTGTCTTGTAATGCCTTACATTAAACTGTCAACACTAGCTTTAATACTAAAGAATGATCACAACAAGGGGCTTTGCATAAGCTTGTATAAAAAAATCAGAGTACCAAAATGCTCCCTGTACTACTAAGGAAGTGAATATACATGTAGCCTTAGTGTGTGCTTGTGTGTGTAGGTATGTGGCTCACTGGTAGTTTGTCGTCAGGCGAGTTAGGGCTGGTGGTGACCTTTAATCTTTGGTTGATATCCCTGTATGTGAGCGCTTGCTCTGAAAACGCCACTTCAACGTTCAGTTCTGTCTCCGTTTCTGTTGAGAGGGACACACACACACGTATGCACACGCAGACACACACACAAGCAAATAGGACCACACAAGCAGCCCATTTAAACAATGTTTGTAGAGGTGAGGTCTAGCCGTTTATACACAGATGGACAACTCCGGGTTTTCATTTATTTAATCACAGTGTTTAAGTCACTTTGACTGAAAGAGGAAGAAAGAGAGTCCTGCTGCTTTTTCTTTACCTTTAAATACACTTAAAATGACCTTTGTCTGATGTTCACACCATTTTTACAGTGTAAGATATCTAGATTCTAATCTTGTTTGGATCTGAACTAAAAACTCAAAAATACTTAGCTTAAAATAATATGCTGTTGTGTTGTATTTCAATTCTAAAATATGTTATGGAGTTGCTAGGCAGAAATTTATTTGGACCTCAGTGAGTCATTCTCCATGCTGACTCATGTGCGTGTGTGTGTGTGTGTGTGTGTGGGTCTGTAAGAGTATTTCGCACATACCAGCTAAAGTGACTTCTTTTTGTCCATTCTCACTTCCTTCTTTGATCTGAATTGGCAGCTCATCCTGCAGGAGCACAACAGAGTAATGTTCAACAGGTGTAATGTTCAACAGGTCATCAATTCACACACAGAGAGTGCACCCCCTCCCCAGTGCATTGTTTTCATGTTACATATTATCTTATCTGTTAATTAGTGGACAAAGTTTGCAAAAAAGTAAAAAAAAAAGGTCACACTTGGTTGAAAACTGTTTCTTTTTGCTGACTGAAGTAGTTTGGACAAGAAGAAAGGACAATAATAATGAAACTCTTTAAATGAATAATCTTATTTATTCTCCCTGCCATCACTTGAATCAAAGCAATAACTTTTCATATTTACACTTGGTTTTATTTATGTAGATTAAACAAACAAAACACATTCATTTCTCTTGATGTTAAGCTAAACTAATGTGCTGCTAGCCTTAGTGACATATTTAGCACACAGGCCTGAGTGGTATTAATCTTCTTGTCTGACTTTTGGCAAGAAAGCAAATAAGCACAATTTCCAAAATGTCATAATACCACTTGAAAGCAGGCATAATTAATCATTTTGAAAACATTTAAGTAATTACTATTGTAAATCATCACCTGAATCNATTTACAGTTCACATATCTCAGATCTAACCTCTTTCATGCCGGTACAATTAACAGTTTGTGGATATTTGCATGTGTGTGTGTGTCTTTGAACCTTTTCAGGAGGTCTGAATATATCCCTAACATCAGGAACGTGTTGTCGGTTGCGTCGCCGTAGCAACGTCTGCTGTAGCGATGCCACACGGCGCTCTACGGCCGCCGCCTGCGTTCTGGTTAGCGTGGACAGGAACACTGCATTGTCTTCTTCCTGTCAATCAATCAATTACAATCACACCTGAGTCAACTGATGTAACCATTATCTGTACCACGTTAATCTGTTAAATACTCCTGGACTGATATAACAGGTTTAACCTCACGGCAAACGTGTCAAATACGAAACATGATAAACTATGACACAACGTGCACTCAGGTCTCATAATTACAGATAGATGATTAATACCTGATCCTGGTCAGCTGCCAATGTGTCATCAAAGAGTTGGGCTAGCCCCGCCTCTGCGAGCCACGCTTCCTCCTGCTCTCCTTCTGAAAGAGAAAATGATAAAGACTGAAAAGAAAAGTGAGGAGTTTGTTTCCTAAGATAAGACAACGCTTGTATAACCTTGTGACTCAAAGAGAAGGGAAGGGGAAGATGACTGTTTTAAAAAAAGTGTATAATTTTTAACCCTTAACCTTTAACCCTGAAACACTTACAATCCCACAGGTGCAGGAAAGGGAAAAGACCAACCACAGGCAGAAGTGGACACAGACATTATACAGGAAGAGTGTGTTTGCTCCACAGAACAATAGTCATCACAAACAGACTAAATGAGGAATGCAATTCCTCACGTACAAAACAACACCCGCTCCAGTCTGCACATGCCTGAGCAGGCAGGGATTTTTCTTTTTTGATTTAACGGCTGAAATTTACACATTACATCTGAATTGTTCTCGAGTCTTTAGGATGCTCAGAGTTCTGGTTCAGCTGCAAAATGTGACAAAATGATTACATAAAGATGAAAAATAACTTCAGAGGAACACAACAATGACCACAAAGAGATGCACAACAACCAACAAGAGATATGGAGATGCAAAACTATGCAGAGTAAGTTGTCAGAGTTTGTTTTTGTGTTGCCAAGTGTCTCAAAGCTCTAGTTCACCTGCACGATGATGAAGATGGTACAACTTTCAGGCAGCATGTCTCCGATGTATGATGGACATTTGTGTCTTGAAGCACACGTATGCTCAGATTAACCTATTGTCAAACTCTGCACTACATAATCTTTACATTAGCAGGAATGTTCTGAATCAAGAATCAAAATGAGTCTGACCCCATCTGCACTACATGGAATCAAAAATTCAGTGTGTATCCCTTTGAGGTCTGTCCACGGACACAGTGTATCCTACCCTCGGGAGTTTTATTCTGCTCCTCCTCTTGAACTTCTCCTTCTCCTCCACTGTCTCCCCTTCCCGCTCCTTCCCCCGAGCGAGTGATGTTCTCCACCTCCTTCCAGTAATCGTCCATCTCCAGCTCATCCAGAGAGTCCTGTGGCACACGTTGCCAAACAAAATTTAATCATTTCAACGACTTTAATTTTAATTTCCTGTTTCATATATTGTTTCTGTCTCGAACAGTGATTTTTGATGATAAATTAAAAAGTAATGCAGTTGCTCTCCCACACACACTGAAACACACAAACACATTCCTGAAGTCTAAACAGACCTTGGAGCTTGTCTCTCCCTCTCACTCTTTTTTTCCAAAAATGGAACTAAAATTATAGTAAACTGGCTGATTTTTACTGAGTCTCCACATATAGAAAAAAACACATGCACAAACACAAGCACATTCTTATAGCAGAGCAGCAGAGAAGGTTGTTGCCACTAAATCTCATCACAAAAGACGACAATATCATTCTGACCAGCATTCATGTCATTGGGCGCTACAATGCAAAGGAATTAAATAGTTATATAATGATAATTGAAGAAATACACCTTAAAATATGAAAGGTATATCATACAGGTCAGTGCAGTGTAGAGTGCTTCACAACTGACAAATTGTTTCCATAAAATTGGTGATTAATGTTATAAAAACAAATAAAAACATACAAAATATAAAAGTGAATACAAATTTAAAGATACAGAAGAAGTAGAAGTACAACATTCTGAATATTTAAATATGACTCCAACAAAATCCGAAGAAAACTATTTTAGAAAAGAAAAGAAAAAGTGTAAAGAACAGAAATGTAAGCAGAGAGTCAGGAATGGAAAATGACATCACGGTACAGAACAGAGCAGAAAGAGCCAATGAAAGAATCCCAAAGCTGAACTCATTGAATGTTTAGAAAGCTAAGGACTGTACTACACACGAGCCTACCTGAGAGTAACAGCGCTGACACGTGGGTCGTGGTCTGGCCCTGGCGTTGGGACTGTGTCTGGGGCTGGAGTGAGACTTTGGGCTGGAGGAGGGCTGAGACCTGGAGCAGGCTGCAGAGCTCGGATTGGGGAGTGACAGCGACGGTTCAGTGCTGCTGGTAACACTGGCTGCAGCGCCAGGCCCGACTCCGTATCCATGTGGTGTGTTTTGGTTCTGTTGAAGGGTGTACTGGCCTGTTCTGCGGCTGGAAGAGGAAAGACACATCTGGTTATCGCCCTTGATAACACATGTTGAAGCTTGGACATGCCCCAGCTCTCACTGCCTCGCATTACTTCACTTGTTGCTGTGAACTTTTTACCTTTGTTTCTCAATTACATTACGATCAATACCTAATAACAAAACATACAAATATTCCTGGATAGCAAACGTTAGATTGACTGGGTTTGTCATGCTTTACATAATTATTATTACTGTCCTGTGGTTGTGAGGTTTTATTTCCAGTCTCATATGAGTTCACCACTGAAATCTAATCTGTTCATCTCTGAGTCCAAGTTAGAGCTTGTCAAAAATTTAAGAAATTCCCAACAGGGAGAAGTGAGATATCGTGTTCAAGAGGTCAACAACATGTTTTGTTTTAATCAGTTCTCAATACTTGATGACAAGTGAATGTTTATGTCAGATGTAATGAAATTCCCTATATGGGTGTTTCTGATATATCACGTTCACAAGAAACTGAGGTCACAGTGACAATGATATTTGACTACCAAATTCTAACAAGTTCATCAATGAGTTCCAGGGAATCTTTCTGCTAAATGAAACAAACATTTCCTCATAAATTCCCTGAGATATGTTCACAACACGCAACTGCAGTGATGTTTCACCAGGTAGGTTTCATCTTTGCTTTCATTTTGATCCACATGTCAGCTCGGGGCCTGCAGTGCATGTTAGTTTCCTTTAATGGACGCACAAGAGAGATAGCTCATATGACACGAGTGGTCAGTGAATCAGACAGACAGAACTCGACCAAAGTATCAAAATAAAGATGAGCGGGTGGCGTGCATTTGTTGAAGTCCCTGCCAGACTTATGAGAACAACATCAGAAAGATCTAAGAATAGAAGCATGGACTCAGCTCATCTCACATCACAGCACACTGGTCTGAATAAGAGCTTGTTATAGTGGTTATGACCTCATCCTGTTTAACTATAATGACTGTTTTGTCATATATACTAATGGACACAGGGATGTGAGGCAGCTGACCATATGACAATCAGTAAGCTGCACCAAAATTATGTAGATAACACTTTCCTCAAAGTGTCTTGATGAAAATGTCAAAAACATCCTAAATCTTGCAATGTTAAAGACAGAGAAAACAAATCCTGAGTGCAACACACACTAAAGATGGAATGGCTTCTTTCTTGGCCCATGTCCCATCTTTCAACCAAGTTTTATGGAAATCTGTTCAGCAGTTTATGAGTAATCCTGCTGACAAACCAACAGACATGGAAAATCTTACCATCCTTGGCAGAGGTTTTAAACACTCACTCACAAATGTTCAGAAAATGGGCAAAATTTCCACAGTGCTACGGAGCATTTGGGGGAGTTGTGTAAAAGAATCTAATAACAGTTTGAGGCTCGTACTGATAATTGATATCAGTTTCAAAAAAACATCCAATTACAGCAGATCAGCTGATTAGCCACACATAATAAATAAATAAATAAATCTCAATGTAGATCCTGCACTGGGTCGTATACCTGCCTGTATATAAAAGAAATCATGGTTGTTTTTTCTTTTCTTTTTATTGAGCATTAATAAATGAGCCTGACATTTTTGTTATTCATTATTGTGAATATTTACGACACAATCTTTCGCCCCAGTTCTGAACTGACAATGCAGCCGACCGGCTCCACAGGGAGTCACTTTGTACGATTACTGCGAAACTGGTCTTTGTGTCACTTTGCATTTGCCTACATCAACAACGGGTGGTGGGTGCCTGAGTGTGAGTGTGCCGCACATCTGAATGGAACAATGCAACATGCATAGCAGCAGATAAGCTCAGACCAGGCATCATAAAAGCCACCTATCCGCATAACACAATATGAATCAATTATGGCATTTCACTGTGATTGTGTTGCTGATGTCTTTATCTCTGAGTGTGGGTTGCGTTGCAGGACATGTATGAACAGAATCTGGATTTAATTTAGGGATAATTACAGGGGACGTTTTCGTACCTACAGGGTGCAGGTTTGCAAATTGCCCTTGTGCAGGACTGTGGGACAAACGTACAAACCGTGGTGTCATTATCAACCAACATATACACAGATAAAAATACACTGTAGAACAAGCTGATGTCCGTCAGTGAGTGTGCATTGGCTCTTATTTCTTTAGTTTTGCTGATGTCCAACTGAATGTCCCCTTTGTTGTGACAGGAAGTGACACAGTGCATTCTTTCTCTCTGCTCTCTTCCTTCTTCTCTGTCTCTCGTTCTTTCTTTCTGCCTTCAAGCTACACTTTTATTGACTGAGCACCTTTAGCTCTGGAACAATGGACTGAGGGTTCAGCTGCCAACAGCAGATCTGTCCTTTCTGTGTCCCGTCCCAATCAAGCTGAGAGGTTTCTGTCAACAACACGTCACTCATCCATCCTACCCATGAATCATCAGTGTGAACACAAATGATTCTTCCCTGACTTATACCTCATTCTTCCACTAAGTTTTGTGGTAATCGGTCCAGTAGTAAGTAAACTTCCTTACATACAAAGAAACAAAAGGAGGTGGGGGTAATTAAAGACAAGTTATTGTTTAAGCAGGGTCACTGGACCTGGGCGTACAGGGATAATGCTGTTTCCAATATTTAGTCGTGAAACACATCTAACATCAATGAAGGGCAGAACAGGAACTCAATCGTTTGTGATATTAACTTTGGAGTCAGAGTGAACAGCAGGAAGTCGATGTGCTGTATTCATTAATTTGGAATTATGAGTGAAGTGTTTTACACTGAGGGTCCATGCTGAGGCAAGGCCACATACCACAGGAGACTTCCTGCCACACACACAAACACACACACACAGCGTTTTAAATAAAGCACTAGTAAATATAGATACACACTTTGATCTTGTTTTAACAAAGCACTTTGTTGGCGTTTCACCAACATTCAACCTCCTCCTTCCTTCTCTTTTCTTTCCACCTCCTTTTCCTCCTCTTGTCACCCCCTTCCTCTCTTATACCTCGCCTGGGACTTGAGTCGTCTCCTTTTCCTTTTCTGTTGGTACTTAATATCCCCTCCCTTGACGTCCTCCCTGTTTTCCCACATTTATTCCCTGAATGGTTCCATCTCTTCTTCCCTCTTTTCTGACCTGGCCCCAGTATCTAAGCACTGTGTGATAACACATGCTGGAACAAGCTGTCTGACTCCTCTCAGTCCCACTGTAACAAAAGCAAAGTAAGAGGTTCTTCAGCTGACATGTGTCCACTCACGGCCTGTAACATTCTCCTTTTCAGACAACCTGATAAGAAGAGATCATACATTAGCCATCATCAATAACTGTCCAAATACAACAAACGTTCAACGCTGATAATAAAGAGGTGTTGCTATTGATGTGACTCTGATGCAACAGCTTTGGAATTATCTGATTGGCTTAGATACTCGTGTCTCGTTTTCCATCCAACTATAATCCTGTGGTGGGAGAAAATATCTTTACGAGCTTGTTAAAAATTAAGCTCTGAAGCTTTCATGGCCAGTTTTTCTTCACTGGTCTGAATGATTTGCCGATGTTGTAAATAGTGTCGGGTGATCAGTGCTGACATGTTTTTGGAGCGGGTCTATTCCAGTTCATAGAATGTGAATGTCAAGACCACAACACACACACGACTATAATGCAAACAAAGTTCTACATACAATCGTGCACGTGACATTGCTCCATTCCGTGCACAGGTGGGCTGCCCTTGTGAGGAAAACAAACACATTCTCTCTCTGGCACACTTTCATACGTGTGTGCACAAATGACCTTTTAAAGAAAAAACTGCTGCAGCTGTGTGAGTGATTGTTCTACACTCTGTCCAAATACACACACCTTTTATCAGCTTGTTGGAGTCGCCGACATAGATGAAGTGTGTGGGATAGTGCATTTGTGTTTGTGAGGTGTGAAAAAACCCTGCAGGAGACTATATCAGCCAGCAAAGAGCAAACTGCACCAGTGAGCTGAACATGAGCCAAGATCAGAGGAGGTGACTCTTTGAATCCACATGAGTGTGAGTCACTGAAGTGACACAGAGCTCCTGACTTGACCGGCACATTCAATTATATGACACTGAAGATTTACACTTAAAAATCCAAACTTATTTAAACATGTCTCCTTTGTGCCTTTCATATGATAATATGATATTATGAGGGACATATGAAGTCAGTATTTCCACATCAACAGAGCAATAAATGATATGTAATGCATTATATGATTCGGCACCTACAAATAAATGATGAGCATTGCACAGCTGAGGAAGCTATATGTGTGTTTGTGTGTGTTCTTGTTCCTGATCCTGTCAGGACCAGTAGACCTGATGTGGACCAAACCTAATGAGGCCAAACATCAGTTCTGAGGTCACGGTTAAGGTTAGGGGAAAGATGTGAATTGTAAATGATGGTTTAGTCATGAACTGGTCATGGTTAAAATTAGGGATAATGTTATAAGCAGTGTAAACCTCTCTCTCTCTGTGTGTGTGTGTGTGTGTGTGTGTGTGTGTGTTATTCCCATTTACATCAACAGGTGCCAGCTGTCCTCTATAAAGACAGAGGCTGCCTCTGTTCCCCCTTGGAAACAGTTAGTTACTGGTCTCACCACTGACCCACTGGCAGAATAAATCACATAATATCTAATACCCCCTCCCCATTGTCAATCTGTCTTTCTCCATCCCTGCATGTCACTGTCTCTTTTTCAACATGAGTTGTGTTTTTTTATGTGCTCACTGCAGTCATCTGTTCTAACTTCACCCTGACAGACACTAGATTTCAAACCGACAGACAGTGTGCTACAGATTCACAGCTACGATGACTTATCAAAGCAGTCCATGCTTGTCTGGTGTCCAGCTCATCTTCCTTTCTGCAGATGTCATTTCCTGTGCAGCGTAGTATTTCTGCTGGCTGGCTGTTGCCTCACACAGTACATTTATTAAAACCATGTGTGTCCACTGACCACTAAGCAATACTTAAGGAAGCACTCACTCACTCTCTCTCTCTCTCTCTCCTACAATTAAAGTGTAGAACACAAAGCTCTTTGGCTAACAGAGGAGCTGAACCTCAAAAACCTCTGTGTGACAGACTCCAGCAGGCTCGTAACCTAAGGCTACTTAGGTCAGATGTCTGCAGCTGGTAAAAGGCCATCAGCTTTCTGTCTGTCCATCCGTCTGTTTGTCTGTGTCACTCTGTCTCCCATTTCCTGACCAAAGGGAAACAATGACCACGAGACTAAACCCTCAAGTCAACCTAGACAGGACGCACACACACTCTTGCTGTGGGAGGTGAAACAAAGGCAGGCTGTAATGTGATGCTGGGTTTTTTTCCCAGTTAGCTGGAGAAGCCATCTGGAACACACACGCATACATATACTGTATACACACACACACACACACACATATGCATACACACAAATACATGCAGAGGCAGGTGTGTCCATCTGAATACCAGCTGGACTGGGTTGTTTACCTTTACCACGCCACAGTGGTAGACAGCAGTTGTTTGCTGACCTGAGCATGCACTGGACACACAAACACACAGCTCGGCCTTTTCGAGTAAACAAGTTATAAATAAGACTGTAACTGTGAAGTGTGTACCGCACTTAGAATGAGTCTTCTTGTCATTGAGGAGAATGCTGACACGCCATGATGACAACAAGCTGTAAACAAAGGATGTGGAGGTTCATGAATGGTTCGATCAACATAAAATATTATCAACAATCATCCTGCTAAACAATCATTTGTTTACAATTTCTGATTTCATCATCCTTAATGAGAAGTTTTGCATCTTTTTCCTAAATTTCATATCTTAAAAACTGAGAATATTGAGGTTTTGGGTGTCAGGTTAATTCATCAGCTAAATAAAACCATCTCTACATAAACCAGAGTCTGACTTCATATCAGTTTTTAACTAAGGCTGGTTTATGTTGCACAGTCTTCAGGGGAGGACAGTATCATTATCTGAAGACTAACAGCTTTATCTCAGAGTTGCGGGTTAAGACTGGCAACCTTGTAAAATCTGAGCTGTTATATCAGAGTCAGGGTGAACCTGCTGATAAAGATAAATAAAACCATAACCCAGGGCTGCAGAGGAGGAGCTGGACACGTGCTCATACAGAAACTAAGTTAGTTGGGGGGGGGGGGGGTATCTATATGACCAGGTTAGTGCTGGTTGGTCAACAACACCATGTTTACTCTGCTGTGAAGTTCAAACCGAGGAAAACAACACAACAATGACCTTTACACACACACACACACACACACACACACACACACACACACACACACACACACACACACACGCTGGATCGCGGTGTTATGTCGCACCTGGGTTCGGTGGAGGTCTCGGGGTCCCTGGCTGATTGACAGCTGGGGGCGCACGGTCCGGTTTGGGGCAACAGTTCCGCGTTGCTGTGGTAACCCGTTAAAACCACTCCCCGGGTCTGCTGCTGCTGTCGACTCATGTTTCTCCTCCTCTTCCTCTTCTGTCCTCCTCTTCACACTCAGCTGACATCCACACTCTCTCTCATCTGTCTATCTGTCGTCCATCGCCGGCATGTTGTGGTCTCTGCTCCCCCCTTCTCTCCCTCCGTCACCCTCTTGTTCTCTCTCTCTCTCTCTCTCTGGAGCTTGTCAATGGGACGGGGGCGGGACTACAGACACAACGCAGCCCAGGGATTGGCTGAAACCGCGGTCAAAATTTCCTGGATGAATGCGCCCCCTGCTGCTTGTAAAGAGTTACCGTCACTTTGCCACTGTGTGCACTGTGGCAAAGCAAGAAAGTTTGAAAAGCATAACTGTTGAGTCTCAATCTGTCTGTGTGTATGTGGATGTGTACAATAATCTTCAAATGTGTAATGAGATTTGTGAACGTGTACATGCACCTGCAAATCTGTATTTAGTGTGTGTGTGTGTGTGTGTGTGTGTGTGAGCAGATTTTAAATTGTGTACAGAAATATATATTAAGATTAGAAAGTGTATTTATATCTGTAAATGTTAAGACACATCTGTAAATGCATACATGGAAACTACTGGCAGAAAATAATATTTTGCTTCAAGACCTGAAAATATATAATAACGATAAAAAATGTTGGCTGTAGTTGACTTTCTTACTCATTTCTTATGTCGAGTCACTGACTGCATGACTATGTATTGACAACATTTATATTGGCTGAGTCTACATGCGTCTATGTATGTGCTTCCTGCAAGTGTTGTGTATGCCGTTTGTATGTGTTTGAACAAAAGTGGTACTGCAGTGCACTCACTGGCTATTAAAAAAGATTGACTCACATCTTCAGGAAGCTGTTTCTATTAATTATTAACCCATGACATAATTTGCTGTGTGTTTTAATATGTGAAGAAGTCCACACCCACTTCATGCTTGGTTTCTTGTTTTCTGTACTCAAACGCACTGGCTTTGTACAGTTTGGTGATCAACACACGGACAGCACAGAACAAGAAGGGAAACTGGACTTAAACAGATCAGCAACAAAGTTAAACAAATAGGGTGATAAAAAAGTATAGATGGGTCATTATATCTGTTGTTGTGATGTGTGCCTGTAGATGAGTGTTTTTGTGTAGAAGATGCAAACAATGGAGAGAGAAGAAAAGTGGAGACAGTGTGACAATGTTTGTTGGAGGGAGAAATAAAAGATGAATAAAAAAAACTGAAGAAATTGAAGGGGGAGAGAAAAAGAAATGCAATTCTTCCAGAGGGCTTCACTGGTTGGGCAGTGATGACAGAGGGAAGCTGCAGGTCAGTTGAGTCTGAGTATAATTTTAGATATTATAATTGTTATGTATAATTTTAATGACTGAGGGTGTTCACATCAATATCAGGTGAAACACGTAGGAATCACAGCCCTGTTTAAACACACTTCCTCAGTAAACACACAGCCAAAACAAACACTGAGGTATTTTAAGGCCAAACACTAGATTAGTCCTTGAATGTGCAGGTCAAGTCCAAATGATCATGTATTGTGAGGTGAAGACCAAATATGGAGTCCTTATGGGTGTGTTTCATGGACAAAAAAGGATTTAGAATCATAAATATTACTTTCATAAAACAGATTATTTGCTCTCATATTTCTTTAACATTTAATATCCTATTCTGCAGGTTTGGGCAGGTTGAGCACAGTTTATACATTATTTCCTCTCCTTACTTAATTCTGTTCATATTGAGTATTAGATTTACTGGTCATTACCATTTAACACACTCTGATTGTATATAACACTTATTAAACCTTTGAAGGAATCGTTTGAAAACTGAAGGAGAGTCATTATATTAAAATATCAAAATAATGTATAATATTGGCTACATTTTAATACTTAAAGTTCACAGGGAATGTTACATTTACAATTTTATAATGTGACTAAATAGTTTGAACATTCCTCAATGCTTTTCTTGCGTCAGTGCGACTGTGATGCAGAGGCCCTTTTTCTGTAAAGCCAAAATCCTGATCACATGAACAAAAACATCAACAGTAACGGGTCACGGAGATGAGTTAAAAAACATGTCAACTGAATAAGACTGAAAATCATTATGTCCTTACCTGAGATGAAGGTAGTGTGTGAGTCTGGAGGCCATCATATCCGTCTGTGGCTTGTCGTTGTTCACTCAGCATGTCCGTCTGGCCATGTGCTGGGAGATGATGGTGAAACACACACTGTGACAATTGGATTAACCAGAGAGGTCAATCAGATTTTTCTGCTCCTCCATCTGCACCCCTCCTCCTCCTCAGCACTTCTGATCCTGTCATCCCACCTTCCCCCCCGTCTCCTCTGTCCTCTCTCCATCCTCCACTCGATACATTCGGCTTCGCTGCATCCCCATCTTGGCCCCCTCCTCCCCTCCACCACCTTAACTGCAAAAGACTGTGCCATGCAGACTTAGCCAGACAATATGGCCACCTGTTTCAGGTGTAGGCTAAAGGAAACAGTGGACACAGCAGATGCCTAAGCTGTTGCATAGGGAGAAAGATAGTTGACGGTCACTTATTGGAGATGTGGAAAGAAATTAAAATAAAGACTGAGAAATTTGAGAGAATATCATAAAACAAAACAAAAATCATATCGGAAAGGTTTTCTAATTCTCATATTAAATATAAAAACATAAAATAATGCTTATTCCATTTGTTAAATTTCTAATATTTACTAAATACTTCATCAATAGTTCATGACTTTTAATGTGTCTATTTTTTAATCATATTCTGAGTGAGTGGGGATTTCACAGATGCTCACATATGCCCCCTAGCGTCTCTCGCTGCACATAACAACTACTGTTACTCAAAGTTGATTTTAAAGTACACACCCTGGCAAGGCACCATGTCCAGGGTGTACCCCGCCTCTGGCCCTATGTCAGCTCACTCATGACCCTTGAAGGATAAGTGGTGTAGGTAATGAATGGATGGATGGATCCTCTGTCAACACTGAGCTGAATGACTGTGACTGTATTCAAATATCCCCTCCCACCTTCCGACCCCATCTGCTGTTAATCAGATTAAATGGCTGCTGTCTGGTGTATTCTGAACGACAACATACAGTCTATCTGCAGCTCCACCTTCACGCTGCACACATTTGAAGTGGCCTCCTGCCCAGAATACACTTTTAACCTTAACAACCTTAATCTGTGTCATATCAGCTCAAATACACCACTACATATCTATTATGCATCAGCAGTGATCCAATCACCCACAGTGGCATTTCCTGAAAATGAAGAGTAAACAGTTCAGCAGTCAATACCAGAAACTCAATTTAAAAATACATCTGGTTTACAGTTCAGCAAAAACAATGACAAGATGTATTCGAAGTGATTTTTTTTTTATTTTTCATTTTTAGCAACTCAAGAGTGATCAGCACCCAAGAAAACATTTAACCTTCCGGTACAAACAGTATTTAGAAAGAGATTTTTGGCAACTTTTATAGAAAATTCTGCCATTCAAGGTTGTTCATCGAAACGTTCTTCCAGCCAAAATATTTAAGCTCATTCTGCAAAACAAACCGTCAAACAGACATAAACATTGCTGGGCCAAATTATTAGCAAACACTTGATGAATTGTAAATACTAAATTCCTCTAAACGAAATTACAAATTTAGCTCTAAATTATTAGCTCCATAACATATGGAAAAACAGAAAAGATGGAACAGAATTATTTAAACTGGTGAGAAAAATGTGCAGCTGAACCATCAAGCTCTTTGTCATCTGCAACACACAATGATTTGATTGATTAATAGATTATTTATGAAACCAGGTTTTTATCTGTCCACAAGTTAAATTAATATATACTGTTGAACCACACAGTAAAATTTGAGCACCTCATTTTATATTTGAAGCAACACCAAACAGCTAAGTAGGAAAGCATTCGTTCACTAAGGCCTGACAGTCCCCTTATGACACCAGATTTAAATAGACTGGATCAAGGTTATTTGGATCTGCACAAATTGGACACAATGATAAATATCAGTCCCCTAAATGTGCCTTTTTACCATCAAGATTCATAAATGATTCTCTGAGAAATCAATACAAATGTCATAACGTTAAAGAAAGTGAAAAAAAATCATGGATCTGCACCCTGACCTGGATCTCAACTAAAACCCTTAGAGTCCGGACATCCTTCCACTAACTTTCATGGTAATCCATACATTTTGCATAATCCTTCTAATTTAGGGACAGACAAATGTAGACAGAAACATAACCTCCGTGGTGGAGGTAACAATTCTTGGTATCACATAAGGATTGGAACACTACTCCATTGCTGCTTCAGTTGCGTGTCAAACCCCTCATGGGGATTTCAAGTGTGACACCATCATTTTATTGACCATAAATTCAAGTGGTTTATTGAGCAGGATTTCTCACCTTCTACATCTTCACTGGGACTCTCCCTTGAAGTCTCTGCACATCTTGGTGTACATGTCTTTCTGCTTGTCCAAGTTTTCTTTATAGCATCTACAAAATCCCAATGATTTACATGTCACTTGTTAGCGTGTGGCTAAGGCTAACTTAAAACACCACATATATCACTTGAACAGAATCTTTATAGAATACATAAAGATAGGTGCTGTAGATTAAAGCCAGAGCAACAAATGAAACATTATTGTGTGTCATTTTAATGTAACATATCATTTTCTGCCTTGTGTGCATGCAAAATATAAATTTTATATAAGACTGCAAACCAAAGCAGTAGTGCTCATTTTAAATGTTCTGAACTGAAGCTGGTCTTACGTTGCCACTTTTCTCAGGAGGTTGTTGATGTCGGCGTCAAAGGGCTTCTTTGCCTGAGCACTTATGAGGCAACCCTGGGCGCTCTCGTACTCACACAGCTCCAGGTATGCCTGACAGACACGACATCAGTCTGAATGATGGAAGTATCTTTATTTACAGTGTGAGCATGTGACATAAGCTGCTTTCAGACATGCATGTTGGGGCTGTATGTGAGAACGCAAACATCCGATTCGGTTGCTCAGGACATTTTCTGCAACTTTTCCCCCTTTTTGAACTAAACTGGAATCAGGTAATCAAAATGAATGGAAGGTTATTATGAACAAACTGTGATCAGTAGATTATATTTACTTCTTCTGTGGATTGATGATTTACAAATGAAGAATAAGGGCAGTTTACTCACATCAGAATATGAGATTTCAGTCAAAGGCGAATGATATTAAACAAGAATAAGAAAATAATATTTTCTCATCAAAACCAATTTTCTTATTCATCATATAAAAACTTGAAAAATGCTACAAGAGCTTGCCTGTGTCAAACAAAACTTTAATCTTGGACATGTACGAGCCTGTGAGGAATTTTATCAGATGGTTTGGAAAAACAAACAAAAAGCCCAGACCAACCTTTCCACAGCGGTAAAGAGCCTTTGTGTTGGCTGAGTCGATCTTCAAGGCTTTGTTGCCGTACTTCAGCGCTTTGTGTGGGCTCTCCAGATGCAGCTCGGTGACAGAGAGGTTCAGATAGAGAGGAAGCAGAGCTGCATTGATCTTCTCCTTTTCTGCATCAGTCTGTGTTTCCCTGCTCACCAGCAGCCTCATGGCCTGTCAGCCAAGCAGAGGATCCAACACAAAACACATTTATTAAGCTTTTAGCTCATAAAATAAAATGTAATGAAACATAAATACCTAAAAACAGAGAATGGTTTCTTTATCTTTAGCTCACGTTAAGATTTACCTGTTTATAGCGATCTTTGGCGACATAGTAACGCCTCTGGTTGAAGCAGCGGTTGCCAAAGCTGCGTAGTGTGATGCAAACTTCAAAAAGTCTGGGCAAAGGAACAGCGTTCTGCGCCTCCTGAAGACAGAAAAGACTTAAACCAACAAAGCAATCAGAATTATGCTTGTTCGATTTGTGGTGAATCTCTTTTGGCCTTTTAGATAAATCTGTATTATATAAATGCATGAAAATATAAATAAAGCTTCAGCTGGTAGCCTAACGTTAATATGCATTTGCCTTTGTCAAGTAGGAAAACCCATCTTAGTGCTCTGTGACTGTGGTAATAGTGACAGTGAACCTGCAGCCTCCCTACCGGACTCAGTGCAACAAACTCGTCCAGTTGTCCCGAGTCGAAAAAGTCCAGGATCTGAACCTCGTACAGAATCTTGGCAGCAGCGGGAATGATCGGAGGACAACCCATGTCCCCATACGCATACTGGGGTTGGAAGAGGAAACGAGAGAACTCTCCTTTCTTCATGGTGAGCAGACCCAGCTGCAGTCCGGCCAGCGTCACATCTGTTTGGATAGTAATTTTACAAATTGGCATTATTTTCAAATCATGCAGAAAAATGTACCTGTAGGCCACATCTTTATGGGTTAATAGGCAGATATTTCATTTCTGACCTTTCCCTAATTTCATCAACCGCGGATGTTTGAAGTTTGTGGTGGTTTCAAAGGGTTGGTCTGAATATTCCAGGAAGCCAGAATAATGGACTGTGAAAGAAAAAGATTGAGGGGAGGCAATGGCAGAACAAGAAAGCATTTGTGAGATAACCACTGTCAGGAGTTTATAGTCAGGGGTATTGCAACAGGGTAGGCAAGGCAGGCGATTGCCCTCCCTTCAGTTATTTGATTGGCTATTTACTAGATAGTGCAATGTCACAATGTTAGGAAATCTCCTAACAAGGGCCAACGCCATGAGCATTCTGCCCAAAGCTTCATCATTCTACAGTTTTGTGTGTGTATGATGTATCTGGGATGTTGGTTGGGTTTGCATCTAAACTTTGAGATAATTTATGTACATACACATTCTGTAATTTGTTTATAATTTTGATACTAAACAAATCGTCAAGGATTGGAATGATGTGATTTGGTATCATGTGTTTTTTGAGGGGTGGGGGTCACTTTGATTCGATGCAGGGCCCCTTTTTGTTGGGGCCCCCAAAGTCCCTTGAAAACGTTTGAGAACAAAAATTGAACTTGTAAATACTCAATACTGAAGCATTCTGGGATATAGGCGGGCCTTCTCCAGGCTGGACCACCTCTTTCATGATCCCTCCATCTCCCAAGATATCATCCATCTGCTGATGTAGCTGTTCAAACGGACTCTGTAATGGGAAGATAAGCTCTGAAACGTGGACACACTAAAGGCCTGGAATAAAGTTGGATTTTAACCATTACATCAAGTGTGTGTCCTAATTTAACAGCATTTTTTTAAACAGACAGATCTACAGTCTCAGAAGAGTGCACACCCCCACAAACTTCCCACAGTCCTGCTCCAAAAAACACAAATAGATATCAGTCCCCTTAATACGATGTGATGATTAAATATGAGCAGTGAATTGTTTCTCTGGGAGATCTGTGAAAATGTCAGAAAACGCCCCCAAGCATGCAATGTCCTGGATCTGACCCTTTGTCCAGATCCACACCAAACGTTAGTGGGTTCTTGATCAACGCCTTGTTATCCTTTTGTCAGCTCTTTCTAATGATTTAGCTTTAAGAATTACACAATATATTTATATATATGTGCACATACAATCACCTAGGTAACTTAATAGGACGTTCTTATAACTAAGTAATTTCAAGTCTGAGATATGATAATAATAATATTACACTACAAATATTTGATTGTAGTAATTGGAACCTTGAGTGAAATATGTTTACTTTGTCACATCCCATACTAACAATGTTACAAAATAGTTATATTTACACTGATGGCTAATTAACTACACGTCAATTAAGATGCTCAGCATGTTTAATGTTATTGATTATTGACTGAATATGTGATTATAATATTTTAATGTCAGACATCATGTATGTAGACACGTGTTCACCTGTAGGATGAAGGCTAGGTGTGTCTCCTCGCTACCTTTCCTACCTCAGGTTAGCATTTTAGCAGCTAGCCGCACACAGCCAATTTAGCATGTTAGCTTACCGGGGTGGGGTTGCTCATCCTCAGCTGCTCCTCGGCGTCTATTAACCTCCGGATACTGGACACTAACCCGTTCCTCGACATGCCAGCCGGTGTGTCGGTCACTGCTAGTGTTACTGGTGTTCAATATGATCTGAAGAGTGGCGGATGATCCACAGTGGGCCTGCAGCAGCTCAGATGACACCGGGCTACAGGTGCTTCAGGTAAGGGCAGGGTTGCCAGGTCTGAGTGACCCAAAGTACCAGAACCGGGACTCTATGCCTCAAACCAGATACACGTATTGTTAAAGCGCTGCAGAATTATTATTATTATTATTATTTACAAATGTACTGTAACATGCACAAATAACACAATACATGTAAAGTGTTTCTCTTATATATGATTTTATATTTTTTATATCTCTAGTCTTGTATTTTATGTTTTGCTCTCACACAGTTTTCACCTATTTCTTTTATATATAATGCCATCATTTGCACAGGCTATGTTAGTCTAATGCACAACATTATATAGCTTTAGTTTTTTATCTTTAAATCTGTATTTATATTTGGCCTCAATACTCGGTTACTTGTCTTTCAATCACCTTATACTTAAAATATTTGTATTGTCAATATCTCTATTAGCACATTTACAGTGACAGTGTGTAATAGTTTTTGGTGGCTAGATTTTCATCTCACTGCTGTCCTTTCTATCTATCTATCTATCTATCTATCTATCTATCTCATGTATTCAAATACAGTATATTATTAAATAATGTAGCTCCTACTTACTATTATATGCAAAGCTATTTTTCTAAATGTATAATAATGATTAAATAATAGTGCCGGCAGCAGAGAGCATTACAGCATGTTTTTTGTTGGTGTTTAATGTGTATGATCTGATCTGGAGTCTGTTTTTTGGCAGGATTTGGTTTTAAATAAAATATTCATTTAAAATATGGCTTCTTATCAATGTATTATTCATGTAAGTTGCATGCAAAGTAGGTCCACCCAATCATAAGAGAGACAACATTTGGCAGTGCTACAAAAGTAGCCTTAGTGCCTATGGGAACTGCAGAACAAGCAACCACAGTGGAGGATAACCTGATAAGAAATTAGCTATAATTCTATTTCCACTTCAATAATACTTCTCAGCTAAAAGGCTGAAGTTCCCCCACCTGCATTATGTTATTTTTAGTGACACAATACTCACATCAGCTATTTTAGATAGACAATGATGTGCCACAACTGTAAGCCATACTGACTGCAGGCTGCACACCAGCTGTCCTGGCCCCAAATTCAGTTTCAAACACATCTGTAACATGGTTCATTTGATCTCAAATGAAATGCTCCCTGAAGTTGTGTTGTTTCAGCAGACAGCAGAGCCACCTTGTGTTTCCCTATAAATTGAACATTGCACAAATGTATGCTTGGATGCACTGATATGAACACACAAAACAGTCCTTTTGCATGAAGTGTTTTAATGTAAATCCAATAGATCTCAACTAATATATACAACTCACATTGAAGTCATTATTTATGATGCAGATGATGCAGATTTTGATTTCTTACACTACTTCTTAAACACATGTAGCACAGATCTGATTTGCTTTGTGTCAAGACAGGTATTTTATCTATTGGAGTACTACACTATTCTACAAAACTGACATTGCAATTAGAAAATAGACTCAATTCAGCCCTGCCAATACTTTTTGATACAGTATGAAGTTTGTAAAGAAAAAATACAAAAGAATATTTAAACTGTACAGAATATGTTACAATTAGGATATTTGCTATTTGTACAAGGAGGGATATTACAATAAAATGATGATTTAATCTAGCACAGAATGCAGTTGTTCATACCCGTGTTTATATGAAACTAGCAGCACAACCTTTGCAAAGTAAACCCATTGGTATTCATGCGGATCTGAGATTAACCAGTAAGCCAGTTAAAAGATTTCCTCATTGTGTTGATTAGAAGTTCTGCAGTTCAGCTGGATAAACAAAGTTGGTCCTGAAGAGTTTGTAGGCCAGGAGCTGTCCTCCAAATATCATCATGACCAGACCTGAACCTGCAGAGAGAGAGAGAGAGAGATTAAATAAATGAGAAGAAGGGATCAATCAGAGGAAAGGATTGGAGGCCAGCAGCAGCAGCAGCAGCAGCAGCTGTCTTCTAAAAGCTTGGATCTGAGGGAACAGGAAAAAGGAATATCTGGGACAGATAGAAAGGAGCTGGAGAGAAATACAGAGAGAAGTTTTCATGTTCTGTAAATGGAACTGGTGACAGGTGAGGATACACATGGGCAGGAGGACAGAAGGATGACCAAGAGGAAAAAGAAAACTTACCCAGAGCTATCCACCAGTGCTCAGCTGAAGGGAAGTCTGACATCACTGCAAACACACACAACAACACATTTGTGTGTCTGCAAACTTTGAACCACAGCCATCACAATGTTACATAACCAGGCCTCCAATCCTATGAGCTGTTCCACAGTATTGATCTACTTTGTGTGTGTGAGAGGGTTTGTTTGTTTACCTGCTACAGTCATGGCGACATGCAGCAATGTGACAGTTATGGCGTAATCCCAGACCCACTCCTCTACAATCCAAGCGAAGACCAGCCCTCCTAAAACATAGGTAACTTCTGTGGAAATCACACCAACTGGAAAGAGAGATGACATTAGAGATGACAAAATTACAGTAAACTATCACGGTTATCATTATCATCGCAGTTGCTTTATATTTAAACAATATTTTTATTTTCACTCAAAACTAATATAGCATCAACTATGTGCAACATTGACAGAGCAAAATTAAGGCTTTAAATGAGGTTTAAATGAAACGTGAAATAACTTAATCAAATGTACATATATAAAAACAACACGACCATTATGAACATAGTGGATGTTAGCAGTTGCATTCTATGGCCAGACAACTGGCAGCTGATGCTGTAACAGTACCAACCCCATCACCATGATAATCAGAGAAATTAAAGATTGAAAAGGTAAAACTAAGCACCAAAAATGTTGTTTCTTTTTGGAAAATAAAATATGTATATCACTAGTATCTGGTACATCACTGTACTATTTTTACAGCAGCTGGTGCAGTTGTGGTGTTCTAGTTCTAGAGTTTCACCAGTGGAATTTTTTTCCCACGGCAGCCATTAAGTAGAGTAAAGTAGCATAAACTAGAAATACACACGTAAACGTCAAGATTCTTCAAGTTTCTTCAACACGGTAAAATTCCAACACTTATACTCACCCAGGTATTTGGGGTTCTGCCATGATGGTTGTGTTGTGTAGTCGAATGGCGCCAACAAGCTGTTGATCTCATGAACCCTTAACACAAAACAAGATTATAGAGGATGTGCACCAAGGATAAACTGGAGCAACATCTCCAGGCCCACTATGACTCCCTGTGCAGGTTTCATGTGTGTGTGTGTGTGTGTTAGTGTGAGTGTACCTGAGCAGTCCGATGCAGAGACTGACCACGATGTAGTAGAGAGAGTAGAAGCACACCATGCACATCAACAGGTTCTGCAGGACAACCTGAGGAGAGGAGAGGACAGGAAAATAAATATCATAGTGGTTAGCAGGGTTGCCTCTTAGCAAGAAGATTCCCTATTTGAATTCCAGGTCTTTCTGTGTGGAGTTAGCATGCCTGTGTGGGTTTGCTCAGGGTTCTCTGACTTCCTTCTACACACTCAAAGACATGCTGATTGAAATTAGATTAATTGAACATTTTAAATTAACCGTGGGGGTGAGTCTGTGAATGTCGGCATGTTCGCCTCAGACCCCCGTAGTGGATAAGTGGTATAACTAATGGATCCATGGAAAAAACTAGTGACCTGTAGTTGAGACCTTCATCCTGAGCCAGACTGTTCTTGAATTTATAATCTGTAATATTTCACTGTAGAATATTGCATCTAACTGCCAGGCCTTTGTTGATTGATATTTCCTTTCATTTTACTGTTAATAAAATATGTCAAATTAAAATCAGCTACATTTATGAGTTCTGCTTCTCAATTTAAGCATCTAACATCAAACATCAACCATCTGCCAATGTGTGCTCGAAATAAACAGAGCAAAAAGAGAAAATCTGAATTATAAAAAACATTAGAGACATAAGCCTTATGTCAGTGATTGGAATCTGAATATAGTTATAGTTGGAACAAGTTACTGGACAGACATTATTGTTATTTAATGCCTTGTGTATTTACAAAAGCTGCTTCTCATCTGCGCTCTCACATTTTCTTCAAGGCGCTCATAACAGGAGATAGCAGCTCACTCGCTAAAGTCTCCTTTCATAGATGATTAACTGGAGCCTTCACAGGAAATGAGTTACAAGACACCCTCACAGGAGAGATAACAGACCTTTTCTCACAGCTGACATTTCAACTTGTCAAACAGAGGTTTAACTAATTACATTAATAATGGGCCGCATTCCAGTCATGTGTGCCGGTGCCAGGGCCCTTCACACTGGTACATATGGCCTGACAGGCACATCTTAATGGAACACAGTCACTGTTAATCTTATTAGTTACTCCTGTGCTTTCTCTGCTGTGACAGAAACCACAGAAAAAAACTACTTTCACTACCCTGTCCCTTCCAATGAAAATACTTTACAAACCTATCACAATGCGTAGTGACTGTTATGTCTTCATGTATCTGTATATGATTAATTGGCCATTTGTTTAATCTTGAAGGCCAAGATGGTTTATGGGATGCGTATTTTCAATATGCATTATATATTTCTTTGCTCTGAATTTTATGGTCACAATTCATCAATTCTTTTCACAAGGATTTTCTAAAATATCCATGGAGGAAATAAATGGGAAATTTGCTTTTAAAATATTCATGGTCTCCTGAAAATATTGAACCTCAACTATTGGTGATCTGACTCAACATTGAAATACTTATCAGCCTCAGCCATACTTCCTTGTTTAGAATACACTATAATGCCTTAATTGTCATTGTACAACAAAATTATCTAGTGCTAATTAGTTTGAATCCTAATACATCGATAAACATTGTGGTGGTTAAATATTAGAATGCAAGCACTGTCATTGTGCATATGTCAGCTTGCTGAAATTCATATTTGCCTCCTAAACATAGTTGTAGACCTTTGATTGATGACTTAAACAAATTAAAGCTTCCATAAGAGTACATAATTTAATTTAAATCTATTGACAGGATAGGACATGAGTGGACATTTAATTTATGATACTAATACAGTTTCATCCTTCTGTACTTTTGATTGAACAATGGTTAGAAAATTCAACATGGGAATCCAGAGATTACAGATAATGATTTGTTTTTAAACGTATATTACTGTGGCCCACTTTTCAATATGTGGTGGCCTCTGCAGCAGGGAACCACATGGAATCTATTTTTTTCTCTGTTTACAGCCGTGAGGATGTGGGTGAATCTTAAAGCGGGGAAGTAGCTGATCTCATGCTAATACCCTCAGAGACAGCTAAACACCTTAGCTAGCTCCGTGGAGTGTTTTCGTCAGCTTCAGACTAGACTCTACTTTAAAAGCTGCTCTAGAAACGAGCTTTGAGACTTCAAATCCCATCCTCTGCCCTGGGGAGTTCTGGTTGATCACTGCCAGGCAAAAAACATTATTCTAACTGAGACATTAGGACATAAACCTCTAAAAAGATACACAGGTAAATGTTGATTATGACGACAACGAAGATGTAATTCTAATGACAGTGAATGAATTGGATTTAATTATCTGTTGTAGTCCATTAAACTGTACATAGCAGATAAAGTAATACCTCAACAATGGCAAGTCATCAGTTAATATTCCACAATCGTCTAATAATCCAGTGGTTTATGTTATTAATATTAAAAATGAATGCAAACAGACAGTACACTTGATTGTAAGAGAATTCTCTCTGAAACACATGTGGATAAACACGTCTCTGCACTGAGTCTCTGCTACGTTACAGACGACAGCAACTGTAGACGTTCACTCTCTAGTGCTAGACGCCATCCTTACCCAGGTATCACTGGGTGTGGTCTTGAGGGAGACGGGTCCATGGCGTTTTATGAGTGTGAATCCACAACAACGACAGCAGTAGTCCAACAACATGAATGGCCGCTGGTCCAAATGAGAGCATGTAGGCTACATGTGCGCATTTGTGTGTATGAGTATGAGAGAGAGAGAGAGACAGAGGGAGAGCATGTTGGGAGGTGGGGTGGGGATTAGAATAAATGGGATTACTACTAAGTAAGAACTGAGCAAATCCCAAACGGGATAAAGTTGAACATAGTATAAGAAGTTCACACATACAGGTTTTAAGGTTGAATATTTCAAGAAGCAACACAAACAGATTTATGTTTGGACCATAGACTATACAAGTTGTAAAGATGGACTCAGCCTGCTCCTGAAAGTGAAGCCAAAGCCTCTCAGTATAGGTCATTAACTCCGCCTCCTCCATGTAAGTGAATGGGATATGGGTCAAAAGTCGAATAAATGTTTCTCGAAGATGGTTTCTTCATCCCTCAATTATTTCCTACAACTCATTCCCTCCTTCCATTGTGTCCATCTTGTGTTCTCTCTTCCTCCTATCCTCCCATTATTGCTTCTCCTCCTTCGACAAAACATTTCAAATTAAAAGCATGATGCAGAAGATGAATGCGTGGGTGAAACACTATGAGGAAGACCTGAAAAAATTAATTGATTTACTGATTCGTTGATCAGCAAAATGTTAATCAGTAACTTTTTTGATCAGCAGTTAATCGTCAGTCAGACTCGGGGGGGGGGGGGTCATCATTTTCCAACCTTTTATAGACAAATCAGTGAATAGTGAAGGTGTGATTGAATTAATCCTGTTTCCACTGTAATCAACATGAAGGAGGATGTGATTGTAATTTTGTCTAGCAGTTCTGAATAAAACCACAAGGTGGAAGCATAGCTTTACAAGCACAGGGAGAACAGCTCCCTCAGCGACAGCCAACCCAAGAGCTGGAGATAAGAGCTACATCCACAGGACTGGCAGCAACAGATAAGATGCTCCATTCTTACATATCGGATATCAGTGTCATAAATCATTTTCCTCTGTGCTTATTTCTGCTCCGACACTGTGCATGAAAACAGACATGGGGGGGGGGGGGGGCATGTAGATGCTGAACATCCATCATCTGTTCATGAAAATGAAGCTTAAGTGGGTGAAGTGAGGGAGAGGGTGAAGGAGATGAAGTAAATGCCGGAGTGACGTTGGTTCAACATTTCCGTCTCCCTCCATAAATAGCTCAAGAAACTCTTGGGCGTCACAGCCTGCATTCGTGTGCGTGCTGGAGCACAGGCACGTGCACCTTTGTATGTGAGGATAACCTGCATCAGTGTAACCATGGTGATTAAGAGCAGGGGAGTAAAGGGGCTGCAGAGCAAGTTAAACGTCATAATTATTCAGCCGCCTGTGTGTGTGCATGTGTTCTGGTACATTGTACCTCTCTGGGGTCTTTGCTTAAGACTTTAAAGCAGGACTGACAGAAAATGCACAAATACACACAACTGGGATTAAAAGACCATTCATGTCTGTATCAATGACAAGATGGATAAAGATGGATGACAGGACAGTTCTCCATGAGTGAAAGCATAGACTGTGAAGATGGAGGACACGTCTCCACTTCCTCCTGCTAAATGAAGTCAAAACATTCTGGATACAAACGTCATTTGGAGCCACAGTCTGCACAGTAACTATCGGGGAATAGAGCTGTGGTATCAGGGTGCAGCTGACACATGTGCTCAGCCAATCATGACTCTGTCTCAGCTGTCAATCATGATGTTTCACTCTATTTTTATTGCATCACATAACTAATTGGAAAACTGGAAAAATAAAAACCAGAACAAACATCAAAGTGATAAGAACTATCTTAAACCTTTGAGAAAATATGAATTGATGTGTATTTTGTCTTTTTAGTTTGACCCATGTCCCATCCACTAACATGGAGCAGACTAGGTTTTTCTTATCTGATGGATGCTCATGTGTTCCTTTTTCTTTGGAAATGTAGTTTTAACAAATTATTTGCATCGACACAACGACACTGTGCAGTCTCCAGCACCAAATAATGTCACCAGCACCTTTTTAAGTCAAGTTAAAACAAATGAGACAGCGTGAGGACATTCAGACTGAGGATCTGTCTGAAGGACACCACCACCAGCTTCAAGCCTAATATGAGTATGAAAAATGGGACTGTTAGAGACAACTCAACAGAGTGCTCCTGTGTCAAGAGAGTGTTTACACCACATGAGTGACTTTTAACCGTCTGTGTTGTATCCATAGAGGCAGAGAAATGAACACAATGTATCCACACTGCTCTCCTGATCTGCTTTTAAATCAGTTCACCAGAGAGAGAGGAAGAGGAAGAACACTGAGGCTCATTGACCTATATGTCAATTTCCATCCTGTGTGTGTGTGTGTATGCGTGCATGTGTGTGTTTGGTACACAGTGTGATGCATCATACTTCATTCAAGATACACAAAAAAGCCAACAGCAGTTAGTAAGTGGGAGGGAGGAGATGGTTCTCATGCAAGAAATACAGATATTTTCTTTCATTCTGATACATTTCTTTACTTTGTGTCATTCTATCGAACAAATGATTAATATATAATGAAAATATTCACTAGTTGCAGCTTGGGACCACATCTTCCGTATGTCTCTGGCCAATCCTCCGATCACTAAGCCCCAAAAAATGTGTGAAACCCGCCATGGATTTCCCGAGTGTCCTGCCCTGTCAGTCATCTTTTGGTCCATTGAGATATTCTCCCCTCGTAAAAACTATTCCTCCTCCACCCTCTCTCTCCTTCACACCTCTTTTTTCCACCACGTCTCCTATAATCTTCCTTCCTACTGTCTTCCCCCTTTCCCCTTGTTCTCCAACTCCCCCTTTCTCTTTCCAAATCTCTCCTCCTCTCAATTACAACTCTCCTTTAATTACCTAGCTGGAGACTTCTGACCACAACTGCTTACAATGAGAACAACACAACAAGTCCACACATTTCGTAAATCCCATAATCCTAAATGGGCTCATAAACAAGAAACGCAGCAGTCGACAATGTAAGGCTTTGTTTTTTCCTCTCCCTTTTTTCTCCCACACTTTCCGCTCCACATCTCAGTTCTCGCCATCTTCCTCCTCCTGTTCTGTCTCTCTCTCTTTTTCCCTGCTGCAGTATGTTTTCATTTCGATCCTTTATGGAATGTAAATACAGCAAAGCCAATGACCGCCGCTGCAGGGACGTGACTTCAGCATGAATCTCAGCTAGCAGCTGATTTTCTCCAAAAGATTCAGAGAGGTCATTAGTGACTGTGCAGATGACAACTTTGTGATTTCATGTCTCCACAACAAAAAGCAGCTTCTGAGTGGTGATGCATGGGGACACCCATTAGGCTGTTTTACTGTGAGTGTGGTTCAGAGGGTGGGTTATAATTAGAGCTAAGGTTGCGGTTGAGGTCAGACGTGTCATGGTCAGTTGTGAGGTTGAGAATGTCACCAGAGGAGCGACAGGACGTCATAACGATTGTGTCCTATAGTGTGTATTCTGTGTGCACACATTCCACTGTATGACTCTGGCCTCATGGTGTTTCATTTCTCATCAAGTTCATCGCAGCCAACTGAACCAACACTGGCCTCTCACACACACAAACACTGGCCTCAGACACACACACACACACACACACACACACACACACACACACACACACACACACACACACACACACACACACACACACACACACACACACACATTGCTCAAGATATCCACAGAAAAACTCTGTCTAATATTGTCTTAACCTCATCGTGTGTATTTTCATTGAATCATGTCCAGCGTGCAATACAGGAAATGACATAGATGCCAACATCTGCAACGTTTTTGCTGCCCTCTCTCTGTGTGTGTGTGTGTTAGTGTGTGTGTGTGTGTGTGTGTGTGTGTGTGTGTGTGTGTGTGTTGCATGTGCTGATAACTCCCAACCTTTGGGAATATATGAAAACGCAAGGAGTAACTCAGGCCAACACTGCAGCTATTAGAACATTACAGCTGAACACATTTTTCCATCTTGGTTTTGTTGCTGCAGGAATGTTGCATTTGCACAACTTTGCGTGTTTTTTACTGCCCATGCTGCTAATTGCTCCTATGCATTCAACACGACAAGCTGATCCATGTGTCTCCTCACCACGCTGTGCATCATCATCCAGACATCTCCTCTAAAAAATAAGTAATTTCATCATTTGCGCCCTACACATGCAAGAAAAGCATGGCACAGTGTCTTGTTTCCCTCCATAAACACGCACACACTCAACATTCATCCCCATCTCTCTCTCTCTCTCTCTCTTTCTCTCTCTCTCTTTATAAACACACACACGCACACACACGCACGCACTCGGAGAGCCTAGCACATTCCCACCAGCGCAGAAGAAGCGCTTTGGAGGAATTGGATGGTCTTCTCTCCGGCTCACAGCAATAAAAACACGCTTTTCTCGCTGGTGTGCAATTCTCAACCATTTTTCTTAGAACACAACATCCTTCTTAACCTTTGTTTCCCTTTTTTCAAGACGTGAAACCAAGTTTTTTGGACGGGACACCCCGGGGTAACGGAGACTTTTACGCATTGAGGGGACCAGGAACGAGCGTCTTTTTTGGGGCTCTTTTTCTTCAATCAGGATATTTCTCCGCTGGGTGATTACAAGCTGTGCATTACGACTTTAAATAGGCGGGATGCGTTAACGGATTTTCCCTCTATCGTAATTAGGAGGCTGTTTCACCGCCTTCTTTGTCCTGAGCGCACAGACTCTCCGTGTGGCGTAAAACGGGTTCCGCGCATAAAGAAAGGATCACGGTTTTAATTTGACCCAGACAAACTGTACCGATGCCAACACAGCGTCTCCACCAGCGACCTTGGATGTAGTAAAGAACTGAGCTGCTGCATGTCTCCTGTCATCCTCATTCCCCCCCTGCATGGCGTTTTACTGGAAGTAGTCTTCAAAGTAGGAGGATGGCTTTTTACTTCCCCCCAGGTTACAGCCTGATCCCCCTCCATGCCTAATGGCACAGTGACAGTGAGAAGCTTTTGTGAAGGTAAGAGCTGAGCTGTGTTTGACCT